AACTAAAGATACGTGACAAGATCTACTACTCCATGTAGTAGTAAAATGGATGCATATTTTTGGCTGTCAATGCTAGCCCATGAACTGCATACATAGACATTGTTGCGTCGTGCATGTCCGACGGAGTGAAAAAGAAAACTTGTACCGCCTGCCATTGTACTGAGTCGCGTGGAAACAATTAATTGTCACTCGATTTCCCGTTTTCTATCTAAAGCTTTGTATTCCTCCTCAACAGGTATGCGCACCGCTGTACTTCTTCGGTTCTTCCCCATCCACGCGCGTCGGCGAGTTTCTTTCCGAGCCTAGCTAGATGGCGAAGGCAACCAAACGTCCCTTTTTCTTCCCGTGTGCGGGCCTCGTCGGGTCTAATGTGAGCAGCCAAACGCGTCCAAAGTGTCTTCTTTGATTCCATTTTCAATAGTTACTGTGGTGGCTGCGCCAAACAAATGTTTTGTCTCGGTTATTACATTGGTTGCATATATATAAGCCAATCAAAGTCTTGGATGCGTCAGTTCCATCCCAACCATACGCAACAAATCCTGAGGGCCGCGGGGAACATGTCCAGATTGAGAATGCCCAAACCACCACATTTTTGGGGGATACAAAACTTACAGAAAACAGTTTTGATGATGTGTGTTGTCAACGGGGCTTTGCCACCACTCTATAGCTTCTCTCAACTTGTGAGAGCAAACGAGTGAGCGTGCAGGGTACGCAGAGGTACGGCAACGTTCGGGGCTTCATTTTGCCACGGCATGTGCACGACACTACTCCAGGGATCATCCATCGACAAGCCTGGACAGCCCTATGCCCTTGGATTAGCTATCGTGCATGTATCGTTCAGCAAAAGATCGTCCGTGAAGTAGTTCCGCAGACAGTCGGTGCACCGCACGCTTGGCCTTTTCAGTTGCATGCATGCATGCATACAGTGTGAGATTCGTTAGCTACTCGATAGAAATCGCTTTCCGGGTAGGTAGGGGCCGGCCGGAAGAACATATCCTGCGGAGGAATCAGTCGATCAGTGTTCTCTTACATATACATGCACGTGACATGGCACCCCGACTCGGTGGAATCCTGCAGAAGGTCGGCCTAATCCTGGATCTCGACTGATTCCTCCCGATGTACGTGTGGCGGCCCCGGCTGCCACGCGAGCCGGTACGTGGCCAAATACCTGTGGCCGCGTACGTGAGAGCGGAGCGGTGGAGCGAGAGATGGAGATGTCCGAAGATGCTCGCGGGCCGGGCCCGAAAGCTGAAGGATGATGTGGCCAACACATACAGATAATGTCGAGGTTCAAGGCGCCACGACCGGGCGCTCCGTCTTGGCGAGGCGTGTCGCGGAGCGAGGAGAGACGAGAGAGCAGTGCCCCCACCCCCCTCCGGCCCTACCCTGGGCCTGGCGCGAACCAACGGCACCGAATACAATACCCCGCCGCCCGGGTGGTGATGACTGATGATGCGTCGTGTGCGGCTCGGGTGACCCGGGCGGCGGCCACGGACGCCAACCCCCGCCGACCGGTGCACGCACGTCCCTCTCCGTCGGAGGCTCGGAGCGACCCACCGACGGCGACCCGGCGCGTCGCCGTCCCCGGGTCCTTTTCCGTTTCCGCGACGTGCAGTGGTTGGCTTGGCTGGCTCGCACGCTTTGCACCGTACGAACGTCCCGTGCATGCCCGGGAGAGACCTGACCAGCCATCAGCCATGGCCCATGCAGATGGCGGCTCTGTTACATACATCAGCTGCGTGATGGCCACGAGCACCTGCTGTCAGGTATGTCACGTTTCGTTCCGAATCATGCACTGTACACTACTGTATATCACCTGCGCTGCGGTCTGCAGGCCCCTTTCGGTTACGGGAGTGCTTCACTTCAGCCAGCTGTAGTTCCTGACGCCGCATGTACTACTAGACTAGATGCAGCGGCACGCTCAAAACCCTGCGCGCGCACTGCTCCTACGCTAGCTTCACGCCACGGCTGCCTGTATATACCGACACCGACACCAGGATGGATGCACCTGACGCGATACACATCATCGATCATGGCAGAGCGCGCTTGACCGCTCCGGGTATAATTTGATTTTCTCGGGAAGCGCGCGCGGGAGCCGACGACCACCGACGAAACGCCGGAACACCTCCGCTTCTTTTCTTCCACGCGGACATCATCATCATCATCGGTCCACAGCGCAAATCTCGATTGCTAATGGCCAATGGAGGCCGATGTCCATGGGGATCCGTTTCAAAGTACTTCCTCCGATCCTTTTTAGTTCGCATATACAATTTGACTGAAATCAAGCCTCATAAAGTCTGACCAGCTTTATAGAAAAAAGTACTCCCTCCTTCAACCTATACAGGGCCTAATGCTTTTTTCAAGGCTGCCTTTGACTATTGACAAAATTAATAGTATATGACATGCATAATGTGAAAATTATATCATTGAAATCTCCTTTCACATATGAATTTGATGATATGCTTTGCGTAAGTTGCATGTCATATATTATTGCTCTAACATTTGGTCAAAGTTAACCTCGAAAAACGCATTAGGCCCTATATAGTATGTACATGCGTATAGGCCGTGCGTATAGGCCGTGCATAACATTTGGTCAAACATATTTTTTACGAACATACATACACATGTATACTAGTATGTACATGCGTAAAATTTCATAATTCACGTGCGGCCTAAAAAAGACAAATGTGTATTTCTAAAATGGGCTAACTTTTCTTTTTGTTAGGCCAGAATTTTGTCTTTCTTGTACAGCATACAAACCACAATATTTTCAAACGATTTTCTACACGTTCGTGCGGGAAACACATAAGTTTCCATGAATTTGATTACTTTTATATGAGTTTTTTTTATAGAAAAACAGGCCCATGAAGTATGACCTCCAAAAATTCTCGATAACGATTACTCCAGTAGCTTCGGTTGAAGACTACTCCTTTTACGAATCACACATCTGTCTACCCCATGAAGTATGATCCAACGAGATTCGCTCGTTGGATCGACGGCCAAGGACAGGAATGGGGCTATTAGGAAGAAAAGCGAGGCCTCGCCGTAGGTTATTAGGTTCGTCGTCCTGCCTGCTCGTGTGCCATGAACGGGCGTGTTTGCTTCAGCTCTCTTGTCCGGAACCTACTCCTCGATCGTGTGCGACCCAATGATGAAGATGCGTCGGGATTGAGAGAGATGGCGTGCGTGTGCGGCCTGAGCGACCCGGGCGGCGGCGGCTAGTACGCAGACGCAGGGATTGCGCGCGGGGATCGCGGGGGCACTTGGCGCGCGCCCATGGATCCGGACGTCGCCCAGGTCCTTTTTCCGTTTCGGTTCCTGTGACGCGCAGCAGCGCGGGGATCGCGGTTGGCTTGGCTGCTTCTATCCATACGTACGTCTCGTGGGCGGGAGAGACGGACCCTGACCACGACCAGCGTGGCCTCCAGCCCCTGCCACGAGAAGCCATGTCCATGTGTGCACGTTTCTTTCGAATATGCGTTCCGCTCGCGGCTCTGCTCCAGCCAGCTGTGTTCCTGAATCCTGACGGCGCGTGGCACGCACGTTATCAACTCCGCGTCACTGCTCCTACGCTTCACGGCTGTCTGACACCGCGATGCACCAGGGCATTCTGCAGATGGCCACGTAGGCCATGATGGCATGGCATGGCACCGCGTGGGGGCGGCCATGCAGGGAGCAGGAGCGTATCCGCGGGCAGGGCAGGATGGATACTCTCTCTACGTAGGAGTAGTACGTACGTCCATGGATCGAGTCGAGTCGAGTCGAGCCGGTTGGCTCGATCGCTTGATCGGCTTTGCCACTAGTTTAATGCCGCCCGGGGAAGCGCGCGGGAGACGACAAGGCCGACGACGACCGGCGAAACACCGTTCGGCCCTTGTTCCAGAGGGAGAGGGAGACATCATCATCATTCTCTCCATCGATGTGGCCCGGCGCAAACCACCCTCACAAAAAACAAAAACTCCACAGCGCAATTCTCGATAAGCCTTATCATTACCCCTCCTCCTGCTGCTGCTACTTCCGTGGTGATAGTTGAGCTTGGGTAGATGAATAATTCCCCACGCGAATCACACATGTGGTATGTGCATGGCCGTCCTTTACTCTCCACCATAACAAATAATTTTTTAAACAAAATAAATTAAAGATACGTGACAAGATGTACCACCACCACCACAAACGGATGGGTATGTGAACGAATCCTAGCCACGCATGAAGGAGTAGATACAAATTGTCGCTCCATATACAACTACTCTACATGTGAAAGAGAAAACTTGTACGCTACTGTACCGCCCGCCTGCCAGTGTGAATTTGAATTGTGGAGGAATTTCAATGCCGAGGTGGCAGGCATTGAGGGAGAGGGAAACGGATTGTGCCCCTCTCTCTCCCGGAGCCGGATCCCCTGACGTACGGCCACCTGACGCGTGGGTCCGGATCCCCTGACGTACGGCCACCTGACGTTGGGCCACTGACGCGTGGATCCGGGTCCACACGTCAGCGAGTGCGCCGTAAGTCAGAGGAGCCGCGTCCCTCTCTCCCGGCCGGCCCTCGCTCGGACAGCCAGAGCTGACTTTTGCACCTGCTCCACACTCCTCTTTCCTCTCCCCTCCCTTGCTCCCTCCCCAGCCTCATGTTCTTCTCCCCCTTCTTCCTGTAGCTTCCATCCCACCCCCCGCCCCAATTCGACCCTCCCCTCCCGCCCCCCGCCTAAAAATCCAGTCTTGC